CCCTCTTCTTGAGAAATTCAAGTTTGGGGTCACCTACCGGACAAGGACAAGGAAAGCAGAAGCATAGTCCCAAAAGAACAAGTACTACAAACCCGGTGAGGAGACTATGTCCATGATTCTCAAGCCCTCAAACTTCATTTCTGGCATCACAGCCACGACCTGTTATCCTCCATCCACTCTCAGTTATCTAGAGATCCCTTTGCCATCCAAACTCATCAAGCCTGAGATCCCAAAGAGGACCAGACCGCTACAGGCTTCATGTTGCAGAACAGAAGTCTATACCATGAGGAATGCATCTGTGCGCCTAAAGGGGCCACCTGGCTTTGAGTCCTACAACTCTGCCACAATGCTCCCCTAGCAAGCCACATCAGCCATTGTAAGACCCAAGACCTGGTTTCCAGGGACTTTTGGTGGCCTACCATACGCACCTCTGCTGCGTCCTGCGCATATTCCAGTGATCTTTACTCCTGGACCAAGACCCCCATTCAAGACTGCTGGGACTCAGACAGCCCTTACACAGTCCACCTCAGTCAGGGGCCATCATCATTTCCATATACTTTATCATGGAATTACCACCCTCCCAAGGGCACAATACCATTCTAGTTGTGGTTGACCACTGAACCAAGATGAGGCATTTTGTTCCATACCAGGCACTTCCCTCTGCTCAGGAGACGGTCCACCTGTTTGCGAGCTACATCTTTCATCTCCCTGTCTTGCCTACATGCATAGTATCTGACTGGGGATCCCAGTTTATTTTCCACTTCTGATGAGAATTTCTATACTGTCCAAGTATAGATGCCCTAACCACAACAACAACGTATCACCCAAGCACCCATGGGCAGGCAGAGTGGGTCAATCAGATCCTTGAACAGTATCTACATTGCTTCCTAAACTATTATCAAGATGACTGGCTATCCCTAATCTGTCATGCTGAGTTTTCCTAAAACAAATGCCACACACACGGGATGGCGAACCGCGGCCACTGGGGGCCGCGATCAGCCGAACCTGCCACGTCAGCAGGTAAATAAAACTGGCCCGGCCCGCCACGGTGCTTACCCTGGCGAGCCGCGTGCCGAACATTGCCGACCCCTGATCTAGACTGTTCTCAGTGGTAGCAGATGACAGAACAAGGAGTAATGGTCTCAAGTTGCAGTGGGGGAGGTTTAGGTTGGATATTAGGAAAAACTTTTTCACTAGGAGGGTGGTGAAGCACTGGAATGGGTTACCTAGGGAGGTGGTGGAATCTCCTTCCTTAGAAGCTTTTAAGGTCAGGCTTCACAAAGCCCTGGCTGGGATGATTTAGTTGGGAATTGGCCCTGCTTTGAGCAGGGGATTGGACTAGATGACCTCCTGAGGTCCCTTCCAACCCTGATATTCTATAATTCTATGATGCCATCCCTGTACACAAACAAAAAATCTTGGGTAATGGTAAAAGATGTCATTAAAAATGTCGAGGCATCATCAAACTGTATATCTGAAGAAACCTCATTTACTTCATTCCCAAAGAAATACTGCTTCTGTCACAGTTACCGGGTGGACTGCACCTCTGACCCCTTCCTGGTCTCTCTGAGTGTAACCTCTTCAGGTCTGTCTCATGCATCTAGCTGTCACCTCTATCTCAGGGTGGAATCAAACACTTCTCCCACTCTCAGACTGGGCCTTGACTGCAGTCCTCTGCTTATCAACCATGATTATCTCAGCAGGTCTAACTTATGTCCAGACCCAGCAGTTCTCAATTCTCCAAATCTCAGCTCCACATTTGTCATACTTACACTGCACATTTTCTATTTCATATTTCTATAGCACCAATCGTACTATTTAAGGACTGATGGTAACATTTGGCATTTAGGGCTAAATCCTCCAAAGGGATTTAGGTGCTTAAGTCCAAAACTTAGATCCCCAAAGCCCCTGCTCAATTGCTGCCTTACCCAGTAAGCACCTAAGTATCAACCGATAAAATCCTATAGACCCCTAAAAATCTGCCACTGGGCATACACACAACCACCTCAGTCCAGGCAACCAGGCATTTAACTCACACCTAAACCCCAGCAGAATCCTCAAACTATGCAATGCCCTGCCTATCTCACCTGTGTGGCCTGATCTGATAGACATGCTCAATGGCTTCCTAATAGATCATGCCCTGTACAAAATACCAGAAGTGGAGGTGGTGCCCCCTTTGTAAGTTTCAGCCCAGTGGTTAGAGCACTCCCTCAGGATGTGGGAATCCCAGATTCAATTCCTCCCTCTGCCAGATGTGAAGCTGGAATTTAAACCCTCGTCTCCACCTTTCAGGAGATAGCCCTAACTTCTGGGCTAAAAGGATATTCTGGGGCTGTTCCCTCTCAACCTCTCCTGTTTAAATTGTTCCCCTTCTTATAAATAAACTATCTCTGGAAAGAGTGAGAAGAACAAATATAAACCAGTGGTCGGGGGACTCACCTGCCAATGACTACCCAAGGTGAGTGCTCTATCAGTCAGGCTAAAAATTTAAGGGGGGAGGGGAGGCACCTCTACCTCGTTTTTTGCAAGCAAGGGCTTAGGCACCTAACTCCAAGAGAGAGTTTATGGCTTTGAATCTTAGGGCTTGTTTATACTTAAAATGTTGTGCTACCTATGCTGTCAGCGAAGGGAACCCACCTCCCCAAGATATGGTAGCTAGGTTGACAGAAAGAGACTCCCCTCGACCTAGCACTGTCTACTGGCTAGCTTAGGTGGCTCCCTGCTCAGCTTGCTGACTTTTGTGGATCCCATTCTTTGACACCTCTCCCCATCCATTGTATAGGGGAGCCTGTATACCTAATGTGGGGCTGTGAATTCCATTAGGCAATAGGGCACCTAAATGTTGAACATTACAAGACTGAGTCTAAGGCTACGTCTTCACTACGGGGGGGGTCGATTTAAGATACGCAAATTCAGCTACGTGAATAGCGTAGCTGAATTCGACGTATCGCAGCCGACTTACCCCGCTGTGAGGACGGCGGCAAAATCGACCTCCGCGGCTTCCCGTCGACGGCTCTTACTCCCACCTTCGCTGGTGGAGTAAGAGCGTCAATTCGGGGATCGATTGTCGCGTCCTGACAGGACGCAATAAATCGATCCCCGAGAGGTCGATTTCTACCCGCCGATTCAGGCGGGTAGTGTAGACCTAGCCTAAGTTTCCCCTTTGTGGAGCCACCCTTATGTAGCACTTTGAATACATATACTGCATTCCTGTGACACAGGTAGGCAGGCAAATACCTGCAACTGATCAATACAGAAAATGAGGCATAGCAAGGTGAACTGGACTTGCCTAAAGTTACACAGTATTACACCTCAGGACTTCTTGTCTCCCAACCCTGCACTTGTTGATTCAGACTAATAAATGCCTGTCAACAAACATGTACTGTAAGTAGTAATATCAAAATCCTCCATCAGTACGCTAGTCTGACAAATGCAGCTTCACACTTCGTTAAATAAAATTAGTGTAATCAGTTACATTAGCACTGACACAAAGTGCTATTTTTAAACATCCAAGCTGATAAAAACCAACAAGGGCAAGGGAATGATGTAGTTAAGAAATGTATTTTCATGCTTTAAATTTCCTTGACTTAGCTAGTTTTTAATGGTAAGGTTGAAAACAAAGATTTGCATTATTTATATCAGACATTTATCCAACATAATATAATGTACAATGGCTTACGGCTGTTGCGACCATTATGTAGATCAGTTTTTAGAGGCTTTAAAATGTACATTTGTTGTAAACAATAGCGACAGATGCTTCATGGCACTTGTTTATGAAGTAATTCCTTATTATTCTTCCATATTTGTACATTCATTGATCCAAGCTGACGTTCTACAAGAACATCAAGAGTTAAAAAGCCTTAGGATATTGTTAGTGAAAAGCGGTTGCACAGCAGTGGAATTTTACATGCTGTATCTTGCCTTTTGCAAAAGACCAACACTCTCCCCCGGACTGTTTTACGGACTAAGTCACTTGAAACTTATTTTAAAATTGAGGAGTGAGCTCTAGTTTCAAGCTGGAGCGATTTACAAATTCAGAGCTCCCCCCAACTCAAAAAACCCTGGAGGCGATGGGGGAATGTAGCTGAACCTGACGCCCCGCAAAACGTCTCTGCACTCCTCGTCCGGCTGGTACGGCGCCGCGGCCGCCTCCTGGGCTGCACAGGGGTGGGTGCGTGTTTTGTTTCTGACGTGAGGAAAGTGTTACAAAGTATCATCCTCATTGCAACAAGTAGCCATGGGGCCTTACCGAGTTGCACTTTCGCTCAACCCCCTCCCCGCAATTTAGGGCTTCGAGCGAGTCGGGTTTATGCGCCGCTACACCGGCTCCGGGCCCCAAGAACCAAGATTAGATGGTAGCGGACGAGACAGAGCGAGCGGAAGAAAAGCATCAACTCCCATCCCATCCTGCAGCGGCTTGAGCCCCGCAGCCCCCCAAACTCCTTCTCCCCATAACCTTCCCGCAGTCTCCGAAGGGGGCGGGCAGAGAGGAGGCTGGGGGCGGACCACCCAGTGTAGAAGGGGGCCGAGAGGAGCACGGGGGGACGGGACAGCACCGGGAGAGGGGGGCGAGCAGCGTGGCGGTGGCAGGGAGGGACACAGCCCTGGGGGAGGTGACAGGGGAGAGACAAGCGCTGCGGGGGACACAGGGCTCTAGGGAAAGAGTTACGGGGGGGCAGCCCGGGGGGGGCCGCGGGGGGACACAGGCAGCCCCAAGGGGCCACGGGGGGAGGCACACAGAGCCCCGGGGCCAGAGCAGCGGGGGGGGGGGGACCGCACCACACACATAGCCCCGAGGGGGGCACGAGCCAGGCAGCCCCCGGTAATCTGATAACGGGCTCTGACAGCTACTCGCTCCCGAGACCCCTGTCCCCCGTCGGCCCCAGGCTGGCGGGAAGCAGCGGAGACGGGGGCGGGCCGAATGCGGCCTAGTAAGCGGCGGGTCCGGCACGGCGCAGACACCAACCCCCTCCCCAGTTCTTCCCCGCGTCCCCCCTCACCTGCGGCTCCGCTCCCCGCGGGGGGCTCTGCCGGGGGACTCGGCCCCGCCGGGTCTCCGATGCGCTCTCGGTGGTCGGCTGTGGCCGGGCCCCCGCGCAGGCCCCTCCGCGGCCGGGCAGCAGGCGCTGGGGGCCGCCCTGGGCTGTTCGCTGGTGGGTCGAGGCAAGAGACGCGCAAAGCGCCGCTGACAGCTACTCAATATGGCGGTGGCTGCCGCCGTTTAGATTTTCCTCCTCGTTGTCACGGAGCATGCGCAAGAGGTGTGAGCATGCGCACTAGCCACGGCGAAGCCGCTGCCCTCAACTCCTCGTCGAGGGGGGCTGAGGGCGAGAGGAGCCTCGGTGTAAAAGGAGGGTTCTCGGGAGTAGGTGGGTGGGTTGCGTAGGGGAGAGGTGGGGAGCACGGGGAGACCCGGCGTGCAAGTACACAGCGGCGGAGGGGGTCTCGCCCCTGTGAGAAGTAGTGTTGGGGGAGGGCAGGAGGTGTCGTGTTATGCCCTTGCTGGGACTAGCCCGAGTGTGACCCCTCATTCCTCTCCCCCTGTCTATACAGCAGGCTCTTGGCATATGTGGACACGGCTTACATAGCTGATGTAAGACTAATTTTTCACATGTCTAATGCCCATGTGTCCAGAGGTACTGGGGGGGTCCTGTCACACACCCCTGGCTTGAAGTGGTTTCCCTTATATACAGGGTTCACCGTTTGGTTGAATGGCTCCGAGCACCCCCACTATACAAATTGTTCCTGCACCCCTGCCTGTGTCATACATACACTGGCTGCATGGGTGGTTCCCAGGAGCTGTGTTTAGACCTGGATATTAGAGAGTTGAGGTGGGGGAGGTAATATCTCTGACTGGACCAACTTCTGTTGGTTAGAGACAAAGCTTTCAAGCTACTGGGCCCTGAAGAAGAACTTGGTGTAGTTTGAAAGCGTGTGTCTTTCACCAACAGATTAGTCCAGCAAAAGATCTTATTTTCCCCACTTTTCCTCTCTCATAGGTGCACCTTGACAAACCTGCTTCATGAGTGAAGTCTTTTTGAGTGCTCCATTTGGCAGCACTCTGTCACAGGAAAGCTTGTTACAAGTGTCCGTTTATTTTTTTGGATTACTCCTTAGGAGCCCATGCCTGCCCTGCACTTATTCTATGCAGGCAGACCCCCCTCCCTGCACACACTTTGAAGGGAATGGGGCTCTGCAGAGTCTCAGCTGGACTTACTTGGGGAAGCTGATTCAGTCACATAGGCTGTTGCCTCTAAGGCAGGGACTTCAAGAAGAGGGTGGTATAGGCACTGACTCCATGGGTGCACTGCGGCTGGAGCACCCACGGAAAAAAATACTGTCAGGCCCCACCAATCGGCTCCTCTACCTTCCACCTGCCAGCGGGCCTTGCCAATCAGTTCCTTCCCCTCCCTCCCATTGCCTCCCACCCAGGGTGGAGCAGCTGTTCAGCGGAGGTGCTGGGGGGAGGGAGCGGAGCAAGGGCAGGGCATGCTTGTGGGTGGGGGCAGAACAGGGTGGGAAGAAGCGGACCGGGGGCAGAAAGGGTTGGAGGAGGGGCCTTGGGGGAAGGTGTGGAGTGGGGGGTCGAGCATCCCAGGGAAATGAGAAAGTTGTCGCCTGTGGAAGGTGGTATGAAGCCACAGTTCCCTATGGATTGTACAGGAGGGGCATTCCTAACAAAGACTCAGGTCTTTAAGCACTTTGGGTGGAATCCACAAAGAGTCTTAGGTGTTGCAAAGCTAAGTGTTATAGGGCCTAATTTTTAGGTGCCTAGAAAATCACAGGAACAACACTGCAATCCACAAAAGCCTAGGCTCCCTATACAATGAATGGGAGAGATAGGTGACTTAGAATGCGATCTACAAAATCTAGCACACTAGCAGGGAGCCACCTGCACTAACACATAGGAGATGCCAAACAGAGGGGTTTGGTCTGAGCACTCCCTCTCTGAGATAGGGGCAAAAGTCCAGGCTCCAAGGAGACCCTATCTTGGCTTAGCTATCCATGAACAAGCACCTACCACCTGGAGACAGATAGTTTAGGCACCTCCAGCATTTCTTGTCCACTGGTTCCCTAGACACCTTTAAGGAGCAGTGGGTGCTGTCCAGGGTTCTCTGCTTAGTATCCCCTTCCAGATCCCTGATTTTGTTCCTGTGACCCTCACTCCTGACCCTGTTATTTTTTCATTGTCCTCTGTAATTAGTTGAATCCCAGGTTCAGTAGCTCCTCCCCTTAGGCTGCGGAGGGTCATTCAGACACAGGTGGGCTTGTGCCTGCCTGCCTCCTAGACTTCAATAGGTATAACATTTCTTGTGGAAATGATTTAGGCACCTGCCTTACTTCACACAAAACAGCCAGAGGTGATGCCCATTTTATAACTTTTAGCCCAGTGGTTAGAGCAGTCTGCTGGCATATGAGAGACTCACATTCAATTCCCCCTCTCTTATCAACAGTTATGATTGTGAAATCTATACTGTTGTTTTGCCTGTATGGTCCCCACGTCTCTACTCTTTATCTGTATGGTCTCTGTCTGATTCTTTAATTGTTTCTGTCTGTTGCATAACTAATTTTGCAAGATTTAAATCAACAAAGGTGGTCGGGTATGATTGGTTAAAGAATTGTTTTGTAATGGGCTAGGATTGGTGAAAAATACTGTTTTGTAGTACTTTAGTTTAAAATGATTGATTAAGGTATAGCTAAGCAAGAGTCAAGTTTAACTATATAAACTGGGGTCCAAAAGGAAGTTCTTTGGAACCTAACTCCAGGACACAGCCCAAGATCAGAGCTGCCAGACCTCAATGCCCTGCCAACTATATCGTGCAGAAGCTGGAGCCCCAGATGACCTGATCCTGACTGGCCACCGGGAAAAGTTCATCTGCCTTATTGGGAGTGGTGAGCATTGTATGCTTAGTGTGCGTATTCTGTTTTGGTAACTGTTAATAGATAAAGGTTAAGGATATTACTGTGTAAGGCTTTTTCACTGGTAAAAGGCCCTGAGGTGCAAACCCGCAGAAGATTACACTCTGAGCCCTAGGAACTGGGTGAATGTGGGTACTTTAATTAACCAGGTTACAGTCTGAGCCCTAGAAACTGAGGATGGGTGGCCCTGACCCCTAAGAAGTGGATATGGGTAGGTGCCTTCACCCAGAGCCCTAGGAACTGGGAAAGGGTGGGAGTGCCTAAATTAACTGGGTTATGCCTTGAACTCATGGAAGGGTAAAGATGGGGTGCCCTAGAGTGTGCAGGTAACAGAGGAAGCTCCACAGTAGACTAGCCCATAGCTCTGTGGTTAGAGGTGGAAGACCCTTATTCAAATCTTTTCTCCCCCTCTGGTAGAGAGCACACCTTGAGCACACCTATCAGATTGGGCTCTGCACAGAAGTTAGGAAGCGGAATGCCTGTCTTCTGGTTTGTGGATCGCTCTGGGGCTTAGGCAGGAGATAGGTGTCTGAACACCTAAAGGGAGGCAGCAACGTGCATGCTCAGAGGCAGAAACCCAGGCTCCGAGGGAACTTTTACTCTGAAAACTTAGGCCATGATTGAGTTTAGGGGCTGACAGGGTTCATCAGGAGTTTTGAGGGGCGAAGGGGAGCCAGAACTGGGAACTAGCAGATACTAACTCTGGCATGTAGGTGCCCAAGTACCTTTGTGGTTCACACTTTGTGAGTAGTCCCATTGATTTCAGTATAAAGTTAGGCCGGAGAGTCTTTGTAGGACACAGCTATTCTGTTGACCACATGCAAACACATGAATGCAAATTTTTTTGGCTTCTAGAAAAAATGTAAAATTGTGGTTTCAACAGAATATATTTTCATATCCTTATTTTAGTATTTTTCTCTTTCCACCATATTTTATGCATTGTTAACAATCATGCCTGAGTAGTTTCTCATAGGAAGCTGTAGCTTCACTTCACACCATCTTCTATTTGAAGTCACTGCCTTAAAAAAGGCATAGGCCCAATGGTACTTTATTCACCTGGGTAGTATCATGAAAGTCATGCATGTGCATAAGTATTTGCTGAATTAGAGCCATGATCATATGACTCTGTAAATCATGTGACTCTGTTCAACATGAAATATGTTTTGAAACAGAGAAAATAATTTCTTCCTAGTCACTAAACTGAAACTCATGCAAATAACCATACCTGAAAAGAGTAATTAAAATACTATATAAATAAAGCAAGGTTACTAACTTGAGTAAGCATTGTGCAAGTCAATTGATGGAAGATTAGAAGGGAAAGTGAGATTTAAGGGCATAGGGGAAGAATAGAATGTTAACACTTCCTAACTTAGGGGCCAATTGGCAGGCCAATAATTTCTGTTAGAAAACATATTACACAGACAGCATAGACAGATGAGAGAAGAATGATAAATAAGGCTACAATTTAGTCGCAGGTATTTTTAGTAAAAGTCATGGAGAAGTCACGGGCAATAAACAAAAATTCACTGCCCTTGACCTGTCCATGACTTTACTAAAAATAACTGAGAGTAAATCTTAGGGGAAAGTGGGGGCACCTGGGGCCAGCAGCACCAGCTGCAGGGGTCTGCCTGAGCAGTGGCTGGTGTGGCTGTCCCTGGGGCCACCTAAGCAGCTGGCCCCAGAGCCAGCTGCTTGGGCAGCCCTGGGGTTAGCCACACTGGCCGTTGCAGAAATCATGGAGGTCGTGTGACAGACACAGAGCCCTAATTATAAATAACTTATTTGGGGTGGGAAGAGGGAAGGCAGTCATTTGACACAGATTTCTCCTGTTAAAAATCACTGCCCTGGACCAAGGCAGAGAAGGTTACATATTTTTATGACTAAATAACGAGTGTGAGGATTCTGACACTACACTCCAGCCATCTCCTTATCTCCAAAGTGCACCAGCCTCAGCCAGCACCCACAGGCCCAGTGAGGACTTTAACCCTATGGTCTGCTTAGTGTTGACCATCAGAAAAGGAGGTGGTTGTTTTAGTACATCATCCCTCTTGGAGAAAGGGAAGGTTCAGAAAGCAAACACAGAGGTTAAGAACACAACAGTTCCAAGGTCACACTGGCTCTGTCCTCCTACCCCCTCCCTTGCCACATATGAACACACACGTGCTAAAGGAGCTAAAATGCTGCTTCACACATTCTGGGATTTTGTGGTGAGGGGGAAGAAAAGGAATGCTCAGGCTCTGACTCCTTTTCTATCACTCATGAGGTATGGAGGAGAGACTCAGACTATTCCTTAA